TGAATTCAATAAGACAGAAAGAAAGAAGTTGAGATACGATGATAAATCAGAAAGGGACACGTCCCCGACATGCCAGCATCTCTTCCACATGCTTGTTGGTTCCAGGAGGGAGATACATTCACTCCGTCCATTGCCAAACACATTAGCGACACCTACACATGTAGTGCCCCCCGCCGCCCCAGCTCACCTTCTCTCTGGAATCAGCGGCGGAGGCAGAAACTGATTTCAGGATTGTTTGGATTTATGAACATATTAAAAATAAATTTCGTAAAAATTGCGATTTTGAATTTGATTGAGAATTATATTAAACCAAAATTATGTCATGTATATAAATTGCCCTCTTTTATGAATCTAAATTTTAAAGAAAATAATTGGTTTTTTTTTTTTATTTAACACAATTCTTAACATTTATTTAATTTAATCTAAAATATTATATAAATACAACTAATTCAGTTGATTTTTGTATATTATATGTATAGTTATATTTTTAAATTTGTTTGTCTTTTATTTTAAATTAAAAAATAATAAATTTTTAATAAATATATTGTGTAATATATTGAATTAAAAAATATATTAATTAGTGACTAGATTTTAATTTTAAATAGAATTAATAATACAAAACACTAATTATATATGTTCGACACAATAATAAAATTCGGATATTCTAATAAATTAGTATACCAAATTCTTAGTCTCATGGTGAAGCCTTAGTTGAGGGACAACATGATACAAATCTTTAAAAATCAACACCATGATAACCATATCTAATAAATATGAAATTTTCAAAAACAAAAGTTATTTTATTTGTGAGAAATTATGATTTCTTGCACCTTGCAAAATACCTAATTAAAAAAAAATGCTATAGATTTATAAAAGCTATTTTATAATTTGAAATCAATTTATAAGTTAATATTTTTAAATAAGACAATGATTAGTACATCCTCTAGTTCAACATATTACATAACATACTCTAATTTAATTATTAAAATTTACTTTTGAAAATTTTCTCATCATGAATTCAAATTTCAAAATAATAATTTTTTAATGAATATGTTGTAGAATGTATTAAATCAGAAAATATACCAATAATTTTTTTTTAAAAATATCTAACTAAAAAGAGAGTTAAAAACTAATAAAATTAGTCAATTAAATACACTTTAAATTTTAATTCTAACTCGTAATTTATGTGATCAGTTCGTGAGTGCTTCACCCACATCACTAGAATTCAACTCTCTTGGATACTCGTTCTCCCTTTCCCAGTTGTCTTAATTTCCCTCCGTTCAAAAAAAATATATAACACACTCCAAGTTTTTTTTAATCTATTAAGACAATACTATAAAGCTACACTTTTAAAATAATTTAAAAAAAATTAATTTTAAAGTGATAGCAAATTATTGGCCAAAAACTTTGACCGTCCAAACTAAAAAGCGTCTTTTGCTCTTTCTTATCTATCTAAGTTGCTTTACTGACATTTTCAAAAAAACAAAAAAAGTTGCTTTACTGACAGAATTGGTGAAATGTTACTCGAAGAAAAAACATTATGTTTGGTATCAAAAGTTATAAACTTGAAAGATCAATGCATTACCCTTTTAAATATACTTCCGTTCTAAAAAAGAGAAAGAGAAAGAAAAAAAACCCTTTTAAATATACTGTCAAACTTTAGCAAATTTGATTCAATTAGATTTAAATGGTGGCTCATTTACCTTTATATAGTTCCACTTCAACTTGCAAGTTGTAAACTTGGACTCTAGTCAATTTTTGTTACCGTCTTTGTGCCGAAAGTGATGATTTTTTTTTTTTTTTTCAGATCTTTTTGTTTCTCGGCCAGACAATATCCCAATGATTCTGGCATAATTCCCGACCTCATCCACTCTCTTCAACTTCTCAGCTTTTCTAATTTCCGTCTCTTTACGGAACATGGGTCATTGATTTGTCTTGTTTGGTTCACTCATATCTAATGTAAAAGATATGTACAACATGATGTTTGGGTTACTTTAGTGATAGTAAAAGT